GCTGCGACAAAATGATGAATGACTGAAATACAAAGTGGAATTGGGTAAAGACGTAACGTCCCTAAATTTCCATGGGACTTAAAGGAGAAAGATATTGCACAGAGGGAAACTCTGCCTGGCTTTATAGAGGAGGGAGTTCAACAGGGAAGACCTATTGTTGTTGGCATATTTGTGTCTTCCCTTCCTGCCAAGATGAGGCAGCGCTGACTGTGGTGGTAAGAAATTGAAAATAAAAGTATGAAAAGACAATGGACAGGGTTCCAGTTGGTGAAGTCCCAGAACAGGCAGAAGGAGACAGGATAAAGCAGACCCAGAGATGGGAGGAAGTAGACCTAGAGGAAAGGGATAGAGGAAAACTGGTGTCAGGGACAGGAGATTTTGGGGCTACGATGAGAGGAGAAACTGAGGCTATACAGTTATTTGCTGAGAATGAAAGAGCAGGAACATGAGGCTGTAGAAGAAGGTTTGGAACTGCTGCTGTGATAGGAAGGCTGTGAGAGATTGCTCTGGAATTCCAGTAACGGGCACTGGGTGCAATATTGTCTCCAGGTCAAAGATTTCGACCAACGGGGAGACAAGAGTCCTAGGCACCTGAGCACCCTCTGACATGGCCTTGCTCTCTGTGAGGGCTTTGCTACGAGGGGCCGCCGACTCTGTCTCCTTCAGAAGCAAAGTTTTTCCTAGACCCTCTTCCCACCTTCACTGCCCAAAGGAAAGCCTGCTAGAGTCCTGGTTACCACATAGCCCTGGAGAGAGCATTCAGCTCATTCCAAGAAATATAAAGAAAGAGTGATTCATTGTTGAAAGTAAACTGAGATTGAGGAAACAGTCCAATCAGACTTGTAAACAGATGAGTGCAGGCACAGCTGGAGGCCCACATGCACACACATGCACCCGCACACACAGCCAGCCCAGCCCCACGCTTGGCCTCTAGGCTTCCCTTAGAAGCAACACCGTGAATGAACAGTCAGAGACTTAATGTCATTCTTGACCCTGGATAATGGTTGCTTGTAAACTGAGATTATTCACCAAAGTGATGCTTTTAAAAACTCATCTTTATTAATAAGACACGCAAAATCTCTGGATCATGAATGTAGTACCTTGAAGTATCACTAGTACTATCTTGCTTTAGACTTCTAATATGTCTGTCTTTATGAAGAGCAGCTCCTGATCATTAGGCCTTAGGGTGTTTCCAATGCCAATGCTAGAATTTCCAAGGTGGTGGGGAGGGGGGTGTTTCAAGTCTTTATAGTTTTGCTTCACAAAGCAGGGGAAGGCTCCATGACAGGAGAAGAATCAGCCTCACGAGTGCACCACAAACCTTTTAAACCAGGGAAATATTTTTTTAAAGATTTATTTATGCATACAAGAGCTGGGGTACAGGCCAGAGATGCGGGGGGTGAGAGGATCCACCAGAGACTGAGTGGGGAACTGAACAGGCAGACTGACTGGAATACACTGCTGAGGGGAGCAGCGGGCGAGACAGGAGAGGTCTGCCTCGCTATGTAGTTTCTCCCTGGCCGGGGATTGAACTTGTGCTGCAGAGGCTGCGGATTGCTTCATAGTGTGGTGCTTAACCCCTTGTGCCACCAGGGAGGCCCAGGGAAATATTTTAAGCTTAACCTAGTGCTACCTGCAAGACAGCAATGAATCAACTTAGAGCTTTCTTTTCCATCTAAATTGGACGTGTTTAAAACATTTTTGTGTGTCTGCTTAGATGTGCAAGTGTGTGCGTATAGAACTTGTGGGTGTATAATTCAGGTGCACATATGCACAGTGTTTACTTCTTGCAGAGAGAAGAGAGACCTCTTTGAATCCATCATCTAAGCTTCCAATGGGCAGCTAATAGCAGCTTGCTCTGCTCTCTGCTTCCCTGCAGGGTGACTAATTAATAAACTTTCCCTTAATTGAGTTCTGGCTGCCAGATCCACAGGGATTATTACTTATATATAAGTAAACAAAATTTCCATTTTAAACAACACTCCAAATCTCTTCATTATATTTTAAACAGATATAAATTCACTGATGTTAAGATAGTCATGGTGGGAGGCTGTATACACTCTGGCCTGGATTCCCTTCCTTGCAAGAGGCCAGTTGCTCTGGCATGCAGGTAACACCCCCAGTTCCTTTGGGGCTCACCTGGGCCCCGTATCTGCCCTTTCTTGCCCCTTCTTTATTCTCATCTACTGATAACTCAGACAGTATCTGCAAACAGTCCTAGAAGCCATGAATGTTATTTGCCTTTTCCTTTAACCTGAATTTATTATTTAAAAGCAATTCCCTTTCACAATTTATAAAGAGGAAGAAGATAAGTTTTATGTTAAATATTTAATTAGTGCCCAGGTTTGTTAAGTACCTATGTCGGATGGATTGACAGGTTTAGGGAAGGTCCTAATCCACACTGCTGTAGAAGTTGAATTTTAAGTTCTTGCAGCTAAAGTATTTTAATTAACCCTATGTTTTCAAGTCTCTTCGCTACTTTCAGATTCCAAATTGAGAACAGAACCATGAAAAAAAATTACAAAACTAAAACAGACCTGTTGCTAGGTTTGAAACCTAGAAAGAGATTGTTCTGCCTCTTCAGTTTTTCTGCTCAGTGCCATTTGGAAGTTATTTGGCTCAAGATTAAGATCTTTTCCAAGTTGTCTTTTGCTGAAAGTACAAGGATCCACTGCAGGCTCTGATTATTATAATTATTGACAGCTTAAAAGAATAAAATAAACATGTTTTAGACCCCCACATTCCCGCTGTAAGACATAACCCAGAAAAAAATAGAGCAGGATTTAAAGCCAGTTCCCAGATTGTTAGGAGAAACGTTGAAAAAATTCTGTTATAGATTTTGAAGGTTTGGATCTTCTTATCCCTATCCTAATCCCCGGTTTCCCTCTTGAAGGAATTTACTATAAACAGAAGTGTTAGATATGGTGTGAGTCTGTCATTAAAAATCAATCTCCCCTGAAAGATTTCCACTCAAAATACTTTGCTCATCCCCAGTCAGACCTTTCTCCTCATCACTGGTTGTCAAGGAGACCCAGTCTTCACAAATACGGCTCCCTGCGAGCCCAGCACACTGCCAGTGCCAGGAAGCCAAGGCTGATAGTCATGCAGGTTGGCCTTGGTTAGTGACACTCCAGCCCCAGGCCAGGGAACATGGTGAGATTTCAGTTCTAGGGGATAGGGTTTAGGGGCAAGTCTCTATATCCAGTCAAAACTAAAGGAGGAGGGGCCTCCCTAGTGGCTGGGGAGTTGAGCACAGCGCTGTGCATGGCCTTTGCCGCACGAGTTCGATCCCCGATGGCTGGGGAACAACCCACATGGCACAGCAGACCTATCCTGTCTCGCCCGCTGCTCCCTCAGCAGTATGTTCCGGTACATCTGCCTGTTCTGTTCTGTGCTCTCTCTAGCGAATCTTCTCACCCCCTGAGACTCTGGCCTGTACCCCACTTCTTTAAAAAAAAAAAAACACTAAAGGACTAAAGGAGGAGGCAGCAAGGAAAACAAGTGAATGACTGACACATGTGAAGCAACATAGATGAACCTCAAATGCAGGAAGCCAGACAGAAAAGAACACATATGGAACATATCATTTCCTTAATAAGATATTCTGGATAAAGGCAAAACTGTACAGACAAAAATCAGATCAGCAGTTGTTAAGGGTGGGAATAGATGGGACTGACGGGAAGGGTCTGGAGGGAAGTAGCATTTTGGTAGTAGCATTTTTTATATCTTGATATAGGGGTGGTGACTACACAACTGTATAGATTTGCCAAAACTCATATAACAACACATAAAAAGGGTAAGTGTCTCTGAATATAAATTATGCTGCATTAAGCCTAAATTCAAAAAAAACAACCATGGTTAAGGAGTAGGACCAACAGCAGAAGACTGGGTCAACAGAGGGGCTCAGATGGAGGAAGGGAACTTCACTTGGGGTGACAGAAGCCCTCCAGAATACTAGTTTCCAATTCTTTGTGCCACAATGAGACTTAGGGGCAAATTGGGAAGCCCATTCATAGATCCTAGTTGGATGTCTTCATTCCAGGATCCATCTATAATTAGGTTTGTTGATTGCCTCTTTTTACTCAATTAGCTTCACAATTTCTAAACACCAGAGTTAGTTTCCTAACTTGGATTTTTGTTAATTTTTTCTGGCAGGCGAAGTCATTAGACAAACAGAGTGAGCCCTGCAGGTCACTGCTGGGGTTTTGAAAGCCCCGTGGAAGTGGGCATTGAGACACTGTGGAAGCTGCTGTATGGCTAGTCCAGACCTTTGGCCACACTTAGAAAACCTTCAAACCACATTTTTGAAAATCCAGTGAGAACAACAGACCACTTTGTCTGGTCCAAGATCCCTAATGGGACACAAAGGAGAACACGCGTACTAACTGTTGAGTACAGATATTCACTACTTGGCGGAGAAAGGATAGAGCACTGTACCAAGGTCAGTGCCAGCTTTGAAATCATGACCCAGAGGGTACCTTATAACCATCAAATTGGGTTCCTGGCAGTGCAGCTGGCGCACAGAACAGGCCTTGCACCCTGGATTTTTCCAGGGAAATGTCACTGATGGGCATTACCTGAGAGAGGGAGGCAGCCAGAGTCAGGTCAGTTATTCCAAAGTCTGATTTATAGACTTAAAAATATGACTTTGTTTCTTTCAGGCCCATACAATGGACTCAAGCTAATGACTTGGTAACATATGGCCTGGGGGCTCTGATAGATGAAATGTTGGTCTTCCATGATGAGCACCATTAAGGTTTGTGAACTAAAAGATACTATTAAGCAATTGTTTCCTCTAAGTTTATTCTCTTATGTTCCCATGGCAATTATATTCATAATTTATCTTAGATGTGCAAAAGTAAGCTCTGGCCCGGATTCTACAACTACCTGGAGTTACAAATGAGTGAACTCTATGCAGGTGAGTGGTTGCCCACAGTGAGGGGCTGCTCACTAGACTGAGGGCTGATGAGGAGGTGCGAGGACAGACATGGGCCACTTACTTCCCCCCTTCCCGCTCTTCTCCATGCGGTACTGGTAGATGTGCAGGGTGAAGAGCATGTGTGAGTTGCGGTGGTCGTCTTCGTCGCAGTCCTGCTGGTTGCCCCGGCGGGAGGCTATGGCCGCGTCCAGGAAGAAGGCAGCCTTCTCTGCTGTGGGCGCTCGCAGCTCGCTCTGGTTCTGCAGCTGGAAAACACAAGCTAAGAGCTGAAGTCTCTGGCTGAGGAAAGCTTGCCTGCTTTGTGCCTGGCTGTCTGTCCTGTGCAGCAAGCTATGTGCCTCTCAAAGGCCAAAAGTCCTTCTGGAACAAGGACCTATACTCATGTGCAACTCTCAGCTTACCTTATTTCTGAAAATTAATACTGAGCACAATTATTGGATGACATGCATTTTTACTTGTTTTCCAATTTAAAATAACCTGCAAATAATAGGTGTGAAGAGCAAATGGTTGTAGTGTCTAAGTGCTTAGTGGACTGGTGGAGTCATCCTGGTCTCTGCAGAGAACAGCAAAGCAATATCCTGGGCTAACCATGTACCCAAGAAAACATGAGAAGCTGCGTCTTGATTTCAAAGACTACAGTGTCTGGAAACAGGTAGTTTGCAAAACTTGATGTAGTCCAGACACCACTGGTATTCCAAAGAGGTAAAACTATCTTGGTTAGTTTTAACTCAACTCTCAATTTCTCTAGCTATTTAACAAAAGCCAATTAGGCCATATTTACTAGCACAATTATAAAGAAGTAGTAAATGTAAAAAGAGTGACAAAGATGGGAGTGATTAAGAGATGATGCTATGTTGGGCCTCCCTGGTGGTACAAGGGGTTAAGGCTCAGCACTGTGAAGCTATAGGCAGCCATTGCAGGACGAGTTCGATCCCCGGCCAGGGAGCTAACCCACATGGTGCAGCTACATGAAAACACCTAAGACACTTGAATGTCTAATCTATGTAATTTAAGGCATGTCTATTTTTCTTTAATTCGTAAGTTCATGTTCATGGCATAATCATTAATTTATTTAAGAAAGTACTTGGGCAACATGTTTGACTCCAGTGAGATCCCTCGGCAATGACAGTAAACCTTAGCCAGGATAACATCATAAGAGTGTGACAGAGCTTCGTGGGTAGATTAAAAGAAACTCCTATTTCTGATTTATTCAGAATTAGTACAAATCCTAACAATTTTCTACTCTGCTGTACCTGATCTACAATTGTGCACTGTGACGGTGGATATGTGGATACTGACACAGTCAAAACCTTCAGACCTCAAGGAGAAGTTCTATTTTCTTTTTTGTACTGACTATGAGGGAAAAATAAGCTAATTAATTTTTAAGGTTTTCAACAAGAAGAGTTCAAATAAGAGGATATTGCTCTCTTCTTATTAGCATTCAGTTAACCAGATCTTTCACCTAAATGGTACTTTAGTAATGGGGTCATTAAGAGAATGGAGGTTGAGGTCATAGCGTAATGCTTGAACAGGTGCAGTGGTAGGGTGACAGTGATTTTATGACAGGTTCAATGTGGACCCCACCTGAGTGCAAACAGTGGTTCTAAGTGTGATCCCTGGACCAAGAGCATCACTAGTGAATTTTTAGACATGCACATTCTCAGTCTCTAGCCCAGCTTCACTGAATCAGAAGTTCTAAAGCTAGAGTCCAGTGATCTGTTTTAACAACTCCTCCAGGTTACTCTGATAGAGATTAACATTTGAGAATCCCTGGATTAAGTGTACTCAACCAACTAGTTTGCATTCTAATTTGATGCTTGAAGAATAAGGAGTTAGCCAGATGAAGAGCAAGAGGGGAGGAGTATCCCATGGAGAGGGAACACAATGTGCAAAGGCACAGAGGTAGGAGAAGGATAGTGGGTCCATTAGAGCCTTGCTACTGAAAGTGTGGCCAATCATTGGGAAGTTTGTTAGAAACACATACTCAGGGACCCATCCCAGACCTACTAAACCAAGTCTGCATTTTATCAAGATCCTAGTGATCTCATATGCACACTGAAGTTTCAGGGGCACTGCTTTCTTAAAGGACTTAAATATAATTTCAGAGGAGTAACAAAGATGGGAGTGATTAAGAGATGATGCTATGTTGGGCCTCCCTGGTGGTACAAGGGGTTAAGGCTCAGCACTGTGAAGCTATAGGCAGCCATTGCAGGATGAGTTTGATCCCCGGCCAGGGAGCTAACCCACATGGCGCAGCAGACCTCTCCTGTCTCGCCCGCTGCTCCCCTCAGCAGTGTATTTCAGTAGACCCACCTCTTCTGCTCCCCACTCTGTCTCTGGTGAATTCTCTCACCCCCCCACACCTTCAGCCTACACCCCAACTCTTATAGGCATAAATAAATGAAATAAATCTTTTTTAAAAGAGATGAGGCTGCAAATATAGGCAGGGGTCAGATTATGTAGGATCTTGCAAATCATGAATTTTAGATAGGAGAATTCTGGTGCTTTAAACGAGGGATGAACACAGTCAATTACGAGTAGATGGGTACAACAAAGGCCACTGGGGTATCCTCAACTGTGAAAACCATCCTACATGGGATGAGGCGGGTACTTTTCAAACTAACACCTATCCTAAGAAAAGGCACATCAGATAATGTTAGAAAATAAAGCTGACTTCTAAAGATTTGAAGAATTGATTATTCTGGATATAAACCAGGGGACTCTGGAGTCATTCCTGAATTTATTGTTAAACAGCAAGAGAGAAACAGTCATAACAGGCATGACATCCTGAAAAGGCAAACCGGAGTTCCTCTTGGCTTCATAGTTCTAGCAATTATATCATGGTTCTAATTAGAAAGTGGTTATTAGTTTTTCCTATAGCACTACTAATCCGGCTGTAAACCAGGGCCAGAAACAGTTTATAGAGCCATAAACAGCCTTGGTAATGACTGTAGCTATTTGTGCAGAGCAGTAAATATTTCGGTTTGTTGTTAAACAAAAGAAAGATTGTACTTTTTTTTTAAAGGGCGTAAAGAAAGTGAATTCAATTTCCCCCAAATGCTACAATTGTGGTTCCTGCTCATTGTCAATTAGCTTCAAGGTACAAATATTTAGGTTTGGTGAGCAGATGGCCCCGCAGCTGCAGGCCATAAAGTTCCAGTCCACTTTAAAGTAAACACTTGTAAGCCTCCTCAGTTTACATGTTAAGTGAGTCACAGATTGAACTGCCCCAGCCTCCAAGGGAGATGGGAGGCACCTCAGTGCTAGCCGAGCTCCAGAACCATCGCCAGCTCACCTGCGTGCCACAGATGGGGTCCTCGCACAGATACACGCCTGGGGACTGGCCATCCTGCAGGCTGCCTGTGGCCACCTCGGACAGCAGGTCCCGAAGGTTCTCCTCTTTGCCCCACACTTCCACTGCTGAGATCCGAACTGAGAAGCGGGCTCCAGTCTTTTCTTTCCGTTCATTTATGAGCTTGAAAAGCCAAGAGATAGCACAGGGGATGATGCCCAGGTTCTGCATGGAATCATCCTTTCCGATCATCGTATAGGATTTCCCTGGGGGAGCAGGTGGGAGAAGAAAAGCAGTTTGAGCTTCCAGGCATCATTTTAAAGAGTCTTTGGAATAGATGCCAAGGATGCAGGAGAAAGGCACAGGGGGGTGGGCAAGGAAGAAAGGCAAAGAAAAGGTGAGAAGAAATATTAAACATCTGACAACAGCAAAAGACATTTTCTAGCACTGCTGATTAAATGGCTATAATAAAGGATGGTGGAGTCTGAGATTAAATCACACTTTAGCTGAAGGAAGATCCCAAATACCATAAGCTATCCAGCGTCTGCACTGTTCCACACAGAGTGGGAAGGTGAGGATCTTTTATCACTATTATGGTTCCTTTTATCACCACTCCTCAGATTAAATCCACATACTTACTTACACTTTATATCCTTTATCAAGTTAAATCTGTGTATACTTCTATAGCATGAGCAGATTCCAATAAAATCTGGATCACTGCTTTGATCAAGACTGGCAGTGAGAGGAAATGAGCTTTCTGGCCCGGCCTGGAACTGGCCTCCACTGTTTACAAGGTATCATTGGAATCTTTGCCAAAGGACACTTTTGGGAGCTCCCCAAATTACTAACTTAACGTGCATGTAAGGTAAAACCTGGTGAGCAGATGGCCACAGGTCAGAATTAAGACTGCTCAATCATCAAAACCCTAGCGGGGCGTCTGCTTCCTCCCTTGGAGGCTGCGGCGTAGGGCTATTCCCGCAGCTGTGTGTACAGGAAGCCTAGGGTGTTCCAGCCTGCTCTCCCCAGGCAGGTCCCCACACGCTTTTGGGCTTTGCTTGGAGGCTGCTCCTCTGGCTTTTGGCTTTAATGTTGGTCCATCCATGAACCCTAATCCTCAGGGGCTGGGGTCGGGCGGGGGAGGGGGGGCAGAGTAGGGGCCCTATCTGCTTTTATCTGCTTTGCCACAATCCCTGCTCAGAAATTTACATTTTCCTGCTACCTTTCAGGGCAGGACTCTGACCTCAGCCAGGTGGAACAACCCTGCTACTGCTTCATTTATCTCTTAGACTGCGAGGTTTTCCTCGATGATTGGGTGTCACTCAGGATAACATCTACATTTGCACAGCAGAAACGGTTGTGATTACTCAGGGCAGCACCTATGAAAAACAGCCTTCCTGTCATTGGAGGACTTCGGGACCAAGACAGAAGAATGGATGGCGTGATTGGGAACCGGAAGAGCAGCGCGAAGGAGTAAAGCTCTCACTGACCCAGCTTGGCGTGGCCGAAACAGAACACACAGCCATCTGCCCCGTTGACCACGGACTGGATCACCTCAGCCACGGTTCCAGCACACACTTCAGCCTGGCAGACACAAGAGGAGACGTGAGTGGTGAGTGGGCCATCAACAGAAAGAGAAGCCTGCTTTGCTGGGGCTCGGGTCCCCGAGGCACTGCTGTCCAGGTTGTCAGCCTGGAACAAACTTCTGGAGGTGCTCAGAGGCCGTGTGCCCCTTACAAGTCTGTATGTTACACACGTGAACCCAAAGCTACCTTTGTGCTAATCTGAGGTACGTTTCAGCTGCTGCCTGTGCAGCCCAGGGAGGAACAGGCTGCCGTGGGGACACAGGATGCCGGATGTTGTGGGACCCGTGCCCTTCCTGGGCCTGCCGTTCTGGCCTCCTGGACAAGGCACCTCAACTCTCATTCACCCTCTGCTAACTAGATCCTTCCTTCCTTCACACACACACACACACACACAAACACACACAGCTTATTTATTAAAGGAAAAATAGATGATGTGCCATTTTGGTAAAGCGAAGCCACCTTGAGAAAAGTTCTAGTTCTAATGTAAGCAAGAGGTGTCTCCTCCACATCTGCTTTCTCTCCCAGTTTCCTTTTCCTTTTTCTTTTCAATCTACAGCCACCTCTTTCCACAACCAGCCTCTTCTTTCTTTCATTGAATGAAACACATTTAATGTATACAATATCAATCTTGTTTGGCATTATGTTACAACGTGTTGTCTGGCATGTTGTGAGCCTCTCATCTCCAGCTTGATTATTCAAATACAAAAAAAAAATACCTTTTGTATTTCCTTATTCACACACAATTATAGTTCTTTGAATATTGTCAACATATTAACAAGGATGTAAAGCAAGATTACTTCATTAAAATATTAAAAAATAGTACTCTGCAAACAAGAGGCTCTCACTAAATTTTGTGGAAGATGAAGACTTTCTGGTTAGCAGCTGAGGCTTTTGAAGCAGCAGGAAGACCAAATTACTTGCTGTGTGCTGTGGATTTCATTTCTGTTCAGTGCCGGAGTTAGTGTCAGACCTGGTGGAAGAATGCAGAAGCTGCAGGAGCACATGGAGGCTGTGTGAACCCCAGCACCCTGCTGCATGGGAGCACTATGCCTCTCCTGGGGCCTGAGACCGCAGCCCAGGCAGCGGATGTAGTTGTTCAGCTCAGGCTGCATCGCACAACGAACCTAAATATTTGGAAATCAGTTTTCTCTCCCAAGCTGAAATTGAAAAATTGCACTCCTCACGACTGTAAGTCATCCCCGTGGCCACTTCAGCAACTCTGTTGGGGGCTCCCCTGAGCTGAGTGGAGAGCAGGACAGGGCTGCTGTGGGACTACCATGCCACAACACCAGGACCTAGGCAAGAGAGATCAGTGCTGAAACTTGAAACAGAAGCAGCAGAACCTTGATGCAGTTTGCCAGAGGCGCTTCTGCATGGTGAAGGGAAGTTATTGTGAATGAAATCTACCTTCTTTGCACATAATGTGAGTTAGGGGTTAGGAGGCTGCTAGCCCACCTGGGCCACCCATAAAATAAACTGTGTTCAACTCAAGGTCAGCAGGGAGGATGCAGGTCATTTGTGGTGTGTGGCCAAAGTGCTAATGCAAACTCACCTGCGCAAAGGTTCAAAGATAGACAGGAGAGCCCTCACAGGGCACTGGATGGAAAAGCCTCGCCATGCAGAATTCTGGCTCAGTAGCCACTGAGCAGACAGTGACCTGAGATCAGTCTGGTATTTGCTAGAAAGTGCTGCCTTTTACTTTGGGCCTAGAGCGGCAAACAACCTCCCCCAGCACAGAACCTATGGGTAGGGTCAGGTCTGCAGGAAGCTTCTGCTCATAGGCCTGTATTTCCCCACCCCCCACATTTTCTCCCCCTTCCTCCCCCACCAAATTTATATGTTGAAACCTAACATCTGATATGAAGGGATGGGATCTTCGGGAGATGATTAGGTTATGACTATGGTGCCATGAGTGGGATTAACATCCATATAAAAGAGGCCCCCAAGAGCTTTCTTGCCCCTTCACCATGTGAGGACACAGCAAGAAGACAACTGTCTGTGAACAAGGGAGGAGATTTGTTGCCCACATGGACCAGGACACCTCCCCAAAGTCAGATCAAGCAGAGGTTTTCACTAGCAGTGGGTGGCTGAAGAGTGTCACGGCCACTTATGGGTAATAAGGTTGATTCATAGGGATGTTCTAATCTTTGCTTAACTTCAGGAAGCTGTTGTCCTGACAGATGGAGGGAAAGCAATATTCACAACTCCCTGCTGTGTTTCAGGCCAACAGCTAGGACCAAGAGCAGAGGCCCACTCTACGCTCCCTGCTTTGGAGACCCAAAGGGTGCTCACCCGCTGGGGGCTGAGTTTGGCTATGACTAGCAGCACGATATTACTATTAACAATGATAATATAATAATTAATAGTGGTTATATAATAATATAATTAACAATGTTATAATAAAGTTATAATTATTATAATAGTAAAAGCTATTACTTTTCATGTCAACACTCACTTCTGGCTCTATCCTAAGCATCCTAAGTATCAATTTAATGAATCACCATAGGCTAACGATGTACATCCTGATTTTACAGAGGGGGATGCAGAGAGGCAAAGTAACTTGCCCAGGGCATACTGTTAATAAACGGGGGTGGGAGGTAAGAGGTAAGAGGTAGACTAGACTGAGTGGGACACAGAGAAGTCAATGGGAAGGTTCCAGGAAAGTCATCTGCTCAAGACAAAGACTGTTGTAATGAGGCTAGGTGGTTAAGTTGAGCTCACACTCTAAGAACATGAGAGAAAAAAACTAATCCAAACTTTTCTTTGACAGCTGCTTATGCAGATACTGCAGAGCTGAGCTGAGCTCCAAGACTAGCTGGGGTTGGGAGAAACAAATGGAGAAGTTGGGCTACCCAGAGGTGAGGAGCTGAAAAACAGAGATTCAAAGCTCCAGCTATCTGGAGAAGGGCCTCCCTCTTCACCTTTTCTATATACAAACTGCTCAGGAACCAGCCCATGAACTTCAGTTGTGTCCACATATCCTTGCCTTTAGCACACTCCTTAGCTATTGAGACGTAACTCTTTTGTTCTCAAACTCAGTCGCCAAAACCTATATAATCCCATTCCCTATCTTAATTGAGGAGATAGATTTTAAATTTATCCCCTACCTCCTTGCCAATCGACTTATAATAAAGCTTTTTTTCTTTTCTCAATGCTTGATGTCCTGGTCTCAGTTTCTTGTACATTCAGTAGGGGACCCATTGCTGGGTAACACTGTGGACAAAGGCCTTAATCTTTGAAGCTCAGTTTCCTTGTTTATAATGTGAAAATAGCACGCCTTCCTTTCCTACACTACTGAATTCTAGGAAGAGTCAAACAGGTTAGTGTATATGAAAATGGACAATTTATATAGAAATATAATTTATTATAATATTGGAAATTTTAACAAAAGCAAAACATTCTGAAATGAGTACAACAGTAATATTGAGCATAGTAAGCTCTGGAACTAAGTGTGAAATGTAAATAAAGACTAACAATAAAATGACTCCTTTTCCTGGAATAAATCTAAAGTGCATTAATAATCCATGCTCAACACAGGATTTGTTTTGGAATTCATGCAACTTAGGGAGAGTTGCTTCTGAAAAGTTTTAACTGACTTAATTAAATTATGTGTAGGCCATTTATTAGACCAATATCAGGTTTAGATTAGTGAGTTCATTGGTTGGTATAATGGTATAATGCACAAAAAATGTACTGAAGAAACCATGGAAGTTACTCATAAAGTACTCTGTGTGCTCATGATGGTAAAACTCCTCAGGGAAACCACACGCTAAGCTTCTTAATGAATGGGACCTATGACATGTGCTGTGTGTCACATAGGAGCCTGTGTGAGCACCACCACTTCCTATACTCAGATGCAACATGAACGAATGAACAGGAGTTGGCAATGGCGGCTAACAGCACCCATGTCCTCAGGTTCTTTGACAGGCTGCACTTACACTACCACACATTGTTTTGCATAAATCTTGGGATTTTCCAGAAATTTATCAGGAAAATGCAGGTGTCTTGTCAAAATGTTGGCAAAGGAGGCCACAGTGTACCTATAACCTGGGTTGTAGATTTCTCCTACAAGGTTCAGTTGCACTGATTCATTTCAGACCCCACCAGATGGTATAACTGACTCTTCTAACAGACATCTGTTCTTACTGTGATTGGTTCCAGGAGCTTTGGTCCAGGAATCTTGGCAATCTGGACACCCAAATAACCTCCAAATTATACTCACAGCCACAATAAGTATAAATTGCCACAATTCTCCACCCCTCCCTATGTTCATGGGTCTGGCAATGTGACCTTACAATTGCTCCAATCAAGAGGTGGGGCCTCTTCACGACTCTTGTATGTGTGCCAATAGAACGGCGGAAGTAATAATGTCTCAGTTCTGAGCTTAGACCTCAACATGCCTTTATGCGAGGTCCTTACCACTGCCATGAGAGTAAACCCAAGCTAGCTTGCTGGATGGTGTGAAACAATGAGGAAGAGAGACCAGGTGACCTGGACAGGGTCATTCTAGGCCAGCTAGAGCTGCCAATTCCCAGATGTGATAGCATCCAGACAAAACCAGCAGTTTCCTACACCCTCCCCCCCAGAGCTGATCACAGACACATGAGTGAGCTGAGCGAGCACCAGAAGAACTTCTCACCTGACCCAAAGATGCAAGATCAGCAAAAAATACTTATTGTTTTAAGCCATTGAATTTTAGGGTGGTAATGCAGCAATAGCAGCCTTATAACAGCTATCTCCAGTATCTCTTCTTCCCCATAGGACTTCATGCCAGCCTGGTCCAGGCCATAGAACTGCATGCCAGCCTCAGTTTCTTTGCCTTGAACTCCAGTTCCTCACTGGGACTATAGACCTGCCCTCAAGATCAGTGTGACAAACATGTTTTTCTCTCTTACATGCCCACACCCAGAGGCCCAGGCAGGAGTGAGGTCCTAATGGTGAAGCCACTGGTACCTCAATGCAGTTGTTTCTGAATTCCAGTTCTGCTTGCTATCGTATGCCAGCCACTGACTAGCTCGGTCTTCTTTTTCCCCAAGGGTATAATTTTTTTGAAATACTGGCATAATTATTCTGTCCCAAGTATGATGCCAGTAATTCAAAAGGACTGAACTATTCAATGGAGCTCAGCTATCCTGTAAGAGGTACCTGATGGGCATCTCAATATTACCTTAATTGAGAAAAATGAGAGATGTTGTGTCCATGGAGGAGCTGGAAGACCATTTTCATAGGTCCTAGTGATCGAGTAAAACCTTTCTTAAGTAATCAACATCGCCTGAGTCTGAGCTGGGTATAGACTCACCTGAGAGGCATCTTGTGGAAAAACCGCATCAAAGGCAAACATCTTAGGAGGGACTTGGTTGCCTCTCTTTTGGAAGGCGTTTTGACCTCCACATGTCAGGGGATCGTATAAGGTGATTTGCTTCTTCCGTGGATCCACCTTTAAGAAAGAGCTGGATTCGGAGGTATCACGAGCCAGTGTGGAACAAATGCGAAGCATGACCTTCACCTGTTAAGAAACAAAGGCAGAAATGCCATGGATTAAGAGAGTTGGCTACTTTGTGATGTAGCTCCTTTCTATGTGCTGGAAACAGAAGTATACTCAGCAGCAGAGAGTCCTCTCATGAAAAATTATGATGAGATGCACAATGAATTAGCAACATAATCCTCAGCGGGTCATGGGAAACTGATTTATTTATAATTACCAGGTAGGCTATTTTGATATGTCCATTACTTTATTACCGATATGGTACATCATGTTCTTTGTCTTTCTATTAATATAAATTGAAAATTAACTGTGCCCTGGTGGCCCAATTACATAGATGAAAAGGTAATCTGGACTGCCAAGCTTTTGGGACTGGTGTAGTTCCCTTGAAGCTCACAGATCAATAAAACACAGACATAAAAGTTAGCTCCGTAATTTACTCCTCGCCCACGCATCAGGACACTTGGAGACAAAAATCCAGTTATTAGTGTCATCATTAAAGGCTTGTGAAATGGTCTGCTTTTAATGACCAGCATTTGAAATGTGTTCCAAGGCGCAACAGTGATGAAAGATTTGTTTGAAAACATGTTATTTGGGATCCCATTGAGTGCAGAGAAGTTGTCATTTCAGCGAATGAACGCTCATCTCCATGGGAAACGGGAGGCGGCACTCCTTTAACCCACCTCCTAAGTAATTGAACACGGACATTTCTAGTGTTCATGACCAACCTAGCTCCACCTCCACCACTAAGCGTGGTGCTTACGGAAATGCACTGCCTGCGAGAGAGGAGCAGAAGTCAAGCTGAAGCCACACACAGCTCTGAAGGCTCAAATCCTGGGGAAGGAACAGCACTTGCTCTTACCAGCTCTTTGTTGCTAGGTCGCTAGTGTGGCTCAAATGTGTGGAGCACCCAGTGTGCCAGGTGCTGAGCTAACCATTGGGGATGCAAAGACAGATAATACAGAGAGTAGTAGGGCAGACAGACACACACACACACACACACACACAGATTTTTGTAATGTAATGTGGCATATTTTGAAGCTATGTGTAGGATTATTTTTATTTATTTGTTTATATTTAAGATTTATTTCTTTTTTATTTATGCATACAAGAACTGGGGTACAGGCCAGAGGTGTGGGGTCAGGGGTGAGAGGGTTCACCAGAGACAGAGTAGGGAACAGAACAGGCAGATTGACTCAAATACACTACTGAAGGGAGCAGTGGGTGAGTCAGGAGAGGTCTGCTACGCCATGTGGGTAGCTCCCTGGCTGGGGATGGAACATGTGCTGCAGAGGCTGCGGATAGCTTCATAGGTTGCGTCTTAACCCCTTGCGCCACCAGGGGAATTATTTTTAAACTCCTTTCTGTGTCTTGTCCTCTTCAGCTAATCAATTGTTAGGTCTGAGAAATCTCAATCATACAACTTTTGAGAGAGGGACTATAAATCTTTGAATACATATTTCAAATATACAGAAGTGCTCAGAAAATAGTTGTACTGTGCATAAGGTGAGAACATCTCCTTGGCCCTGCCACTTGAGGTTTGCAAACTAATTTGCAGTGTATAAAGCTGAACTGTAAAGAACTCCTGGGGCACCATGCCCCAGCTGGGCTTTTTCTCATCACTTAAGCAGACCAAGCACTCACACTCCGGAAGCTGGGGTCACATGGAAGGATAACCTCAGGATGAGCCTGACTGGTCAAGGTTCAAATCTTAATTTATTTTTTGTTTGTTTACATAAAAGAACTGGGGTGTAGGCCAGATGTGCGGGGGGAGGGGGCGGGGAGTGGTGAAAGGATTCACCAGAGACAGAGTAGGGAGCAGAACAGGTGGATCTACTGAAATACACTGCTGAGAGGAGCAGCGGGTGAGACAGGAGAGGTCTGCTGCTCCATATGTGGGTTAACATCCTGGCCGGGGATCGAACTCAGGCCATAGTGGTGATAGCACTGAGACTTAACTCCACAAGGTTCAAATCTTGATTTTGAGGTCATAATGATAGGGGCTGTGTATGCGAGGGCTATACTATTATCTACAGTGTCAGACATAATCCTCTCAACAAGTCAGCATGTTGGGAAACTTATCCAGATTGTATAGATGAGAAAACAGATGTCACGGAAATTACCCCGAATCAGTGAACCTGTGGTGGTGAGGCTGGCCTCTGACTCTACCTCTGACTCCACACTGCAGCTTCCCATACAGTCCAACTTCGTACAGCCCCAATTTCCTCACTTGTGTACTAGGTTCTGCTGTAAGAATGAAATGAATTGACATGCGAAACACTGAGCACGGTGTGGGGACTAATGGTTCTCTGCCTCTCTTTCCTGCACTTGCCTATGTCAAAATGATAAGATCCAATCATTTCTAATCAGTGCTAATGATAAGGTTTTAAAACTCCTTGCCCTGGATGCAGGATACCATGAATCACAAACTAGATGCTATGGGGGAGGGCCTCCCCGGTAGCGCAGCGGTTGAGCGCTGGGTTGCGAAGCTGCCCGCGGCCTCTGCGGCGCCAGTTCGATCCCCGGCCGCTCCCCGGCCACCGGAGGAGGGTCCCGCATGGCGCGCAGACCTCTCCTGCCGCCCGCTGCTCCCCTCAGCAGTGTACTTCGGTCCTTCTGCCTGCTCTGCTCCCTGCTCTGGCTGAGGTGAATTGTCTCACCCTCCCGCGATTCTGACTGTACCCAGTGCTTGTATAAAGAAAACAAACAAACAAACAAATTAATAAATAAATAAAACATGCCTCTAAAAAAATAATAAAATAAAAAAATAAAAAAAAATAGATGCTATGGGGGAAATCACTGCAGACAGAGCTAGATGTTAAGCTTAGGTCTTACAGGTCTCCTATTAGTAAAACATCACCAGGTCCGTAGTCACTGTGCATGTGACAATGAACACCGTGTCTGCCTGTATTCTATTCGGGCACTTTTCTTGTTCACTGTGATTATCTCCAATCTTATTTCAATTCCATTCATTTCCACAGACTTGCCCCAGTTCTACAGCAGGTACGCTAAGAGCACACATTCAAACTGCAACCTCAGTAGAGGTCTAAGGCCTTCAGGTTTGCAGTAAGCAAGTTCCCTAGCCCAGCCTCTCAACGGTCCAAATCAATGATGATGCAACGCCAGGCAGAACTGATGGAGCCACATGGCCCACTGCTTTTCTATTTCACAATTTTGTATGTAATTTCTGGGTAACTAGAGGTGCTGAATGTAAAATATGAGCTCAGCCAGGCAAGGGCCTAGAAGGAGAAGCAGGAGAGAGGGGCTGCATTAGTGAGTCATTTGTCTGGCAGGAGTGCTCCTGCATCTTAATGAGGTTCCAAGCCTGCACTTCAGTTTCTGCACAGGTTCAAGATCCCAAGGCTGCCCTGGCCAGGGAGAGACCCGGCTCGTTATAATTCATTGAAGTCTGAGTAGGGGGAAATGCCACACTCCATTTTTCCCCTTGTAATTCATTTACATAAACGATATTTTTCCCTTAAAGGCAGGAAAATGGGTTTTTCTGCTTCACTTCCTTTGTGTCATTATTCCTTTAGTCCAGCGCTCCACTTCCTACTTAATCCATTGTAATTAAAGTGCTTAGGAGATACCACTTAGGATCAAGAAAGCCCCTTGGACTTCTTGCCAGAAACTCTTGCTTTGTTGCAAACATTGTTAGGTTCTTGGCAACATCTACTTCCACCCTCTTCTCCTGGCTGCTCTGGGGAGAACAGAGGGTCCTTGTGGCTGTCGTGTGCACAGCTTTCTCCCTGGCTCACTGTTTTCTCCTGAAGGCAGATCTCAGGGCAATGGGATCTGGAAGGCTAGAGGCACAGTCAAAATGGTGGGGAGGAGCCCTGATACCTGATCCAACGGAGAGCAGGTTAACACTTCCTCTCCCCACATCCTCACTGGTTGAGAACAACTTGCTTCATTTATCTAATGACTCAGTGGATGGTGGGAGACAGCTGTTGCTCTGGGCAGCAGTTGTCTCTGTGTCCTGCTCATTAATCATTTCAGCACCTCCTGGTGGATCACACGATGGGAATGAGGGAGAAAGGATTTGCGAGATGCAGTGTCGGGGGGAGGGGAAGGAGGGTTGCCTTGCTTCTGATCTATACAGACATTCCCTCAAGGTAAGGGTTATGGCTGATTGTCATATAGCTTTATTGGGGACTAATGAGAAATGGGTCTGGAATGTGCTCACTGTTAGTGCCACATGCACTCACGTAGGCACAGAGTACAAGTACCTGGTGCAGACACAGGGGCTCTTCATTGCCTGTCTGTACCCACAAGCTGTCCAGCTGCTCTTCAGACTATAATCTCAGGAGGGCTTTGAGGAAATCTGACCATTCGCAGAATCCCTCACCAAGACTTCTGATGATGCTAAGTTGGCTGGAGAGGGAAACTCCAGTCATCGTGCCCATCATGAGCTTTGTTCACACGCTGCTGTGCAGCCACCCCGAAGGCCTCCCGCAGACACATGAAACACAGCCTGTGTCTGGGTCACAGTAAAGGTTCAGAGAACATGTGAGTGCAGTTGTTTCCCTATAAGATTAGAGGCTTCACAGTAAATCAACTACTACTTCTTCCAATTCCTCTACATTTCTGTATTTTGATTCTCTTTATACCGATCTCTAAGTTGAGAGACTTTTCAAGAATGTGCTCAGTAGAAGCTGGTGAAGGTGTGGAACAAGCAATTTCACTAGAAATACCATAAGGCATCATTTGGTCTCAATGCCAGCAGTATTAGAACCACCCTTAAGCCTTTCATATCTTTTCTTCTGTTCCTAAAACATGTCTGGAAATTTTTCTCCAAAGTGAGTCAGAGGCAAATAAGAGGTTCATCAAAACTCACCAACATGAAAGATGGTGGAGAAAGCAGAACAAGGAGGCCTGTCAGAAGGGCCTCTGAAACCAAAGGAGTCACCTACAGAAACAGCACCCAAATTACGGAGCCAAATAGCAACTGACAACATTAGACCAGGGCCCCGCATTCCTCCTGCCCAGGCCAGAGGCAGCATTGGTGATGTTGGGACTCCAAA